ATGGCAAAGGTGTAAGGGCAACATGAATACCAACTTATCTAATTGGATTAGTACAGTATCTTCCATGAATTAGAAGACAAATAAAAGAGCTATACGATACTATATTCAGTCCTTGCTGATGTATAACTATAGCAACAAAGGGATCCTTACCCTTATGGCGTTATTTTCGGTGTAGTTCCACCAGTCCAGTGAATCACGTCTGAACTGCATCATGTAGCTTGTAACCCATGCGTCCTGGATAGTACATCCGTGTACTGAATACTTTCCTTGCGTTGCTACTCGTCTCACGTGGTACGGGTGTTTCAAATCAACCTCCAAATATTGATTCTCATCGCTTCTCTGAAGACATTAATATGATGATACATCGAGTTTCTCGACCTTGACACCGACTCTTGTATTGTATTAGCAAAACTATTGATATTTTAAAAGAAAATCAACGGTGAAAGAGAAATTAAAGCAGAATAAGATGGGCTATCTGCGCTAGTTATGTCGACATATTTGTAATTCATGGCAAGGCTCCCCAATGCCTTCCTTATGGCGTATTGACTGAGCATTCAATTCAACAGAGAATTCAACAGATTGGTTCCAAAACTCAATGGTGTCTACCATCTGCCTTTGTCTCATGTTCGGGCCTAAACTAACATTTTACACCTTTCGTTTCATTCTAGCTAAGTTTCCTTTGGTACTCGTCCTTTTCAGAAATTCAGCTGCGATCAACTATGATAATCACGCAAGGGATTGTGGTGGCAAGAATCGACGTATTCTCTAAAATTACCAGAGCAATCATTCTAAGAGATCCTGATTTTCTCATGACTATTACACCCAGCTTTTATTTATGAGGAAAGCTTAAAGTGCCAACAAACCCCTGCACACCATCCACCTTCTCCTAGCCGACTGTGCAACCTGGCCAGCCAAGGTTCGTAATTCACCCTCAAAGCACTTGACGCTGTAATATCCTTATCAGATATTTGACCACTCTCCATTCCCAGGGGATCAATGCAGTCTGGAAAGAAAAGGCACCGAAGGGCAAGATATCTGTCAGACTTGTATCATATTATGGTCAGTTTAACACATTGGAGTTACGGTGTCGTGTTCTTCTCCACTTGCAAGAGAAAAATTAATTCCGATCCTCACTTCATATCTGCTTACATGGATAGAGTCACAGAACACTGACCACAACAAAGTAATCACACAAAGTGATCAAAAAGTTAAATTTGTGTTCTGTGCTAATTTCAACCTGCAGTCACTTTTTTCCCATTTCCTGGGGCAAAGGGAAGTTACTACGAACGTCCACTGTATTCATAACGATGGACCATGCATCAACACGTGAAGAACGACGTACGAATGGGCGTAAAACAGGTAGCTATATGGCATAGTTTACTGTACTATTCCTTGATAAATGATCATTTGATGCTGTGGTCCATAAAAATTCAAAAACCAAGGAGTGGCTCATGGCCTTCGTGATAAATCATGATTCCTTACCTTCTTTAGCAAATACTTCCAGCCTTAAACAAGGGTGGTTGTTCCAGGTTTTTGGGTGAAAACGAAGATATCTTGCACGGAGATTATATTTAATACTCACTTTGACCAAACTATGTCGATGTGTGTTCCCATTAAATACCTATACAGAGGATCACATAATACGGTTACTTCCAATCAATATTTCCTCAGGTATGGAAAACCAACATTTTTCACTCTGTTGAAGAGAAATGTATTGTAATCTTGTTATTATTAAAACAACAGCTAGGTGTAACCTGCATTATGAAAATCACTTTTGAAAGTTTACACGAGTACCTCTTTCCGTCACGACATTGGATGCTCTCTTCAGTTTAAGCTCACCTTCACGTTTCCCCATTCTGTGTATTGCTTCCAAAACAGCCCATCAAGACTGGAACTAATGCTAAAAGTTTTCACCCATTTGTCCCCTGGTAAATGAGATTGAACTGCGATGGCCTGAATAACTTTGGTCATTTTCAAATCTATTTGAAGGAACTGGTTGTTGTTTGTTTCATTGCTTTTTGCACACCATGCTGATCCGGGGCCATCATGGGAGTTGTTGTGTATCGCCAAACGTCCGTGCCAGGGCGTTAAAACAGATCCGTCGCAAGTATAAAAATTAGGATAACCGTCTGCCATACTAGTCAGGTTTGAGAAATCAACAGATCTCGAGTACACTGAAAAGAAAAATTCACCTACTTAATTTGTATGAACTTTTGTTAGAATTAAGTTTAAAGAAAGAAACTAAGTACAGCTGGAAAGACATGAACATTTTGCATCGTCGGTTCGCTGGGAGATCTTGGAAAGGCTTTTAATTTGGAGCTAATATGCTGGAAAGCTAAGAGAGTTATTCTCTGAATTCAACCTTGTAGTTTTAATAATCAATACTAGAGTGATAAACTAGAAAAATAAAAGCTAACCCTGGCATCCGTATAATTCAACCCGCATATTGGGTCTCCCAACCCATTCTTTGGGCCAAAAGCGCACGAAGCTTGCCGTGACAGTCCGCTCAAGGTAATGTTTTGCCACAGTGTTGACGAGCGGCGTCCCAATAAACATCTAAAATAAAGTAAAATAAAATATTTTGAACTAATGGGAAAAAAATACCAATGACAAAATATCATTGAACTACAGTATCATAAAATCAAATAAAATGATTAAGATTTAGATATATCTCTGTTTTCGTGGAAACGGTCGTGAATTGTTATCACGAAGTGCCTGGATCTTTATAAAGCCTTGACTTCTCATCATGATCAGCGCAGTCAATGAAACTAACTGGGTTTCGTAGCCTACGTATCACAAACATTTATCTGCCCCACGTCGTATATAGCCCCAGGATACAAAATAAATAGAGGAATAAAAACTTCTTTACCCTGACTTCGCCATTCTCTCGGTGGTAAAACCAATGTAAACCATCTCTGGAAAAAGACAATTGGAATTTGACCACGGCAGACTTTATGGTCGAGTGGCCTTGAGTTGCAACAGCAGTAAAGCGCTATTCATCTATGCCATTTCCAATTTGCAGAAAAGAGTCCTTATCATTATGGCCTCGAAGCCATGTGTATGTATTGAAAAGTCTGGCTTTTGCAGCATCATGTCCAGAATTAACGGACGAAACTAGAATCGACTCAGATGGCCAGTGAAAATCTTCCATGCCAATAGCAGAAGAGCAAGCTGAGTAAAATGAAGATCAACCAAAAAAAAAACATAAATTTTTCTCAACAAATATTTATATCCTCATGAGATTTGTCAAAAAAAATCTTAACGGAAATTCTTTAAAAATTGCCCGGCCACCAGGCACTTTTATAGCCAGAGTATAATTTGAAATGCTAGTTAATACTTATTTTCGAGTCTTTCCTATTCATTTTATTTTTTTTGGAGTCAACTCCACTCCGATTAGATGTATCTGAACTAATTATATCGCCAGTGAAGTTACAATCAATTTTTATTGTGGACCAAGGTACTGTAATTTGCTTGTAATCTGCCACGAAACAAGACGAGTTTTGATTTTTTTGCATGAAAAAATGACATGGCATTGTAATAATTGTCATGAATGTTTGTCTCTTGTTCCATAGATATACATATATAGGCCTCCCATGGTGCCTTTTGGGTGGAGTAATAATCCGCCCCACTCTTCTAACTAAATTTGTTCAAGAACGTCTTACTAACTTTTACATCCAAAAACTTCAACCCGCATGCATGTCCATCCAAACCACGTAACCGGAAGAAACCTTATTTGTCGAGAAGTTATTCTTTTCAAAAGTGTATGTCGAATAACTTGAATGCTCTGTGAATTTCCATCAAAGACCTAAAAGGTTGAAAAAAAGAGTTACTTTGCAAATGTTATTTTAGAAAATACAAGATTGTTCCTACACTCTTTCTTCTAGAAAGGAAATCCCCTCTGCAAGGCATCTGCAAGTATAACGAGCCAGACTTCTCTTTTCACGCAGATATCAGACAAGAATGGCACTTTTTAATGTGGGAAAACAGGACAGGGGTATCAAAGACAAAGCACAGCTGATAATTTTATCTGCTAAAAATTATATTCGTATGGATCTTTGAATCTGATCTTGATTTCTAAGTTACGCTCACCTTCGGAGAAACTCCATCCTCAGTGTAGTTAACCCAAAGCATATGATCGTCAGTGAAAGATAAGCTAAAGTTTGTCACCCAAGCTCTGAAACGAATTGCCCATTCAGATGTTTCGTACTTTCCTTGAGTAGCAACGCCCGTTATGATATGTATTTGAGCCAGATCGACCTGTAGGTACTGTTTCCCATCATTTTCCAGTGCGCACCAGGCTCCCTCGCCGTCTCTACTGTAGAGTCTTGCCAGCCAAGGCTCATGGTCCACGTCATACCATGACGAGGCTGAAAAGGCTTGATTTGGTACCACTCCACGCTCAATACCAACTGGATGTGCGCATTCTGGAAATACATGCGCTAAGTAATTAAGTCATTGGGCGGAATGTGACGACACTGATGAACTACTAAAATTAGAAGTGTTCTGGAAAAGCGTTTGGGATTTTTTAGGCTTGTTAGGTTATCTTGAAGTCCTAATACGAGTCTTCTGAACCTTGTTTTGTCATGTGACGAAGACCACAAATATAGTTTTGCTTTTGAGTGATTTTTCCCCTGACCATTATAATAGGGTTTCATTCTCGGACAGTAATTGCCATCGCCAATTGTGTTTGGATTTTTCTTCTGACCTTGCCTAGAGTCCTCAACGAGCGGTCTTCTTTATTTAATCAACCGAGGTCAGTAGTCCCGTAAGTCCACACACGCCTACCGATAGGATATCTAAGAACGTCTGCTTAGGGTTGAATGAGTCATTAAGAAAAGAGTGACCATCGCCTCGAATAAAAGTTACCCATCAGACTCTTGGTGCGTCCCGTTTGCGCGCGGTGATCGAGCTGGCTCACACCAACAGTCCAGCAACATCATATATCATTCATAACAGATGAAACGGCAAAATTGGAGGGACCCCACTGAAACCGTTTTTGCCAGGTCTGTTCCCTCATTAAATACTGTTATTGTTATAATTAGGGGAAACGCATTGCCAGGAATGTTTCTAAATGTTAGGTTTTGATATAGCTTTCATAGATACTGAGATGAATAGCGGCCATCCATTGATTATGGCGTGATGCACTGTAAGCAATGTGCGTAATCTACTGATAATGGAATTGTATTGTGATCATGTGCCCTTATGTACATACAGGACGTACTTCGGGCTCGTATTTCACATCACATTGTGTGGAAATTCAAGCAAAGGCAGTTTCCAAACAGACAACAGAAAAAAAGACTCGGGAAAAGACTCTTACTTTTCAACAGAAATTTGCGTAACATACGGAAACATACGTATGATGCACGATCCTCGCAGTAGAGAGCGCTATTTATGCAATAGCGAAAATCAGACCTAAAAAAAATCAGGCCTTTACGGGATTCGAACCACTGAGCCACTTTGTGTTCAGGAATCACGAACCTTCACAACCGTAGACCTCTACTCTCATGCAGATTGCTTCATTCCACTCCACAGGAAGGAATCTCAGGAATCTGCCCGTTACATGTTTGTAGAATTGGACTTCCTTCGCCGTGTTGTGATCTGTATTGCCACTCAGGGTCTGTAAAACATGCAGACGTAAGGCGATACGTAAAACGCTAATGAATCATAATATTTCTCCTTCATCACCATTCGGAATTAATAAGACAAAAACTTCCTTTTCATAAAGGGAATGGAAACGTGGGTCTTAATTAATGCAATTTAATAACTTTTTTCGTTGAATGTTAATTAATTTTCTAGTGAGGAGAATGTTACAGAAGGAAAGAGATATAGTGTCAGACTGGACAAGACATATTTTCACCTGAGCCAAGAGAGAGAAAAGTTGGACACCACTAAACTTTAGACTCGGTGCTACCCCACTTGCACAAGAGATACTTCTCTTAACCAGGATGTTTGTTAGTCCTTATTTTATTCCTGTGCTGAATCATTGAACCTATTATGAATCATAAATCCAACCTTTGACTTGCTTTCGTCAAGAGCTTTCCTCCAAAATATGTTGTCCATACTGTAAGCCACTTCATAACGGATCACCCACTGCAGATTGACAGGATGACCCTGGGTGGCGACTCGCGCTACCGTATAAACTCTTCCTAAATCTACTTGAAGATACTGTTTATCGTCATTTCTTCCCGCGCACCAGGCCTTCCCCTTGTTTAAGCGACCATTCCAGGCATCACTTTCAGCTGGTGATTGACTCGATGCAGTGAACTGTACATTGGATAAGTCTCCGCTCTCCACGCCAAGAGGGTTTTGGCAAACATCTGCACATTTTACAAAAGGCTTTAGGAAAATTTTGTCTATACATCCTATTATTGTGGTATCCCGCGTAATTGATGAGCATTGGAGGATGAAAATGTGACATAACTCTCATCTTACAAATCTAATTCAAAAGATTTTTATGAGAATTGAAGGTTTGAAAGATTGGCGCTAAGTATATGAATAGTAAAGCTTTACGCACAGATGACTCTTTCCACCAGTATATCTAGAAACTAATGAGGACGAATGGCATACGGCGCTAAGAATGACAGTCTCGTCTTTTCATGGCTATCCTGGAGACAACGATGCCATTATAATAGTCCCAAAAATTATCAAAGAACTGGATTCTGACTAAACTAAACTGAATTTGTTGTGAAAATATGAATTGAGTCACCTTTACTGCCGTACAACTCAACTCTCAATCCAGGGCGATTATAATACGTTTCAGGCCAAAAACGTACACATAATGCTGTTATATTATGTCGGAGGTAATTCTTTACTACTGTGTTGGGATCATTGTTGCCACGAAATATCTGAAAAAAAAAAAGGAGAGGAAAACTTTGATTCTGAATTTTCAACTAACATTCCAGCTTTAAAAGTTAAGGTGATAGGGACTGACTTATTGTTGAACGGTATCTGTGTTTATTTTCAAATTTTACTCGCTTTTAGGACCCTAATTTCTCCGATAATAAGTTTTGTATTAATATTTCAATCGTTACCACTGTAAACTTAGTATCTCTTTGTGGTAAAGAAATCTTCAGTCTTTAGAGAGCGCGCGAAATACTTTTGTGATTAATTAAAATAACTGGTGTACCAGCCGAGAAATTTCCAGACATTTCTACCCCTAAAAGGAAACAAATCGGAAAAATCTCCTAGAATGGTGTACGTTTCAAAAATTTCATTCCAACATTTATCAGTTATTCAATATCAAAATGATCACTCGTTTTCGATTTTAATTTTGGATTGACAGTGGCGGATCCAGGGGGAGGGTCTGGGGGTCCGCACCCCCCTATCAAACCTGACGCTTACAACTTTGAGATATGATCGTATATCACTTTTAACTGGCTGACTTTTTTATGAATCCAAATAAACGGTAAGCGGCCAAGGAATTATAACGTGTAACCGCGACTGGTGGGAGGGTGTGTGGGGGAGAAGTAATTTGCCTCAAAGAGTCCAACAGTCCTTTCTGAACCAAAGTTTGGGCCCCCCCCAATCAAAAACTCCTGTATCCGCCTCTGATAGACCAGACTGACCTTAACTTCGCCATCATCAATGTATTCCATCCATTCGTCTCCCCACAAGCTGTAACTCAACTTGTAACTTATTACCCAGGCTTCGTGATATTTATTCTTGAAACCCTGTGTGGCTACAGCTGTAATAATGCTCAGCTGTCTTCCGATGGAGATTTCAAAGAAGTTTCCCGCTCTTGGATAAGCTGACCATGCGTTCTCCAAGTTATAGAGTCTTCCTTTTCGTGCATCGTAAGCGTACTTATGGTGAGACGCTGTCAGATATTTATCTTGAATCACACTACTATTTTCCACCCCTAACGCTTCTGAGTAAGCTGTAGAAACATAATTTGCGACTAAGCTCTTGTGATTGTCCCCTATAGTCTCCGTTGGTGTTGCGTAGCCAAGATCCGATCTCACTATGTCTAAAAATAAATTGCTTATGTCTGCAAAGTAAATCGCTTAGGGTGATTTGCAAAGGTGATGGTTTTAAAGGATGATCCTTTAATCACCAATTAGGATTAATCCAGTGCACAGCCTGTCACAGCTTGCAATCAGTCTATGTCATCGTTTTATATCATTCACTTATATATCCCATTACTCAGTGCTACTCATCGAATGCTTTAGTTTGACATTTCAGAATTGAATATTGCTATAATTTTCCCAGTCTGACAACTTCTTTTGTGATACGAAAGTAGAGGTTGTCGGTCTTTTTCTTTTAAGATAGTCCTCTTATTATCCTAAATTGAAAGATCTTTTCGATTACTCACTATATAAATGGAGCGATATAAATGTGGTAAACTCACCATCGCATCCAAATGCTTCAACCCTCATACACATATCACCCTCCCACGTCACTGGGTAGAACCGTAGGGCCGCAGCTACGATAGGCGGATTTATTTGGTGCTTCACTCCAGTTCCCCGATTTTTATTTGCATCAAATATCTTGGAAAAAAACCGACAATATGAGAGCAGGCAATTGGATAAATAGTAAGTCAATAATAGATGTGGAATCGTTTCCTATCTTCGTGTAAGCGTCATAAACTTTTCCGGGTGTAGTTGCCTTTCATTTCTGATAAATCAATGGATTGACGAAAGAGTAAAGAAATGAATCAACAATTGAGAGGATACACATCGTCCTAATTATGATTTAGTTTGATCTTTTTTTTCTCACCTGATAGAAGTGAGCGTTCGAATCATTTTCCATCCTACGTATACACGTCATAAACGTTCCCAAGAGTATTTCCCTTATTGTTTTCTATCTCATCTGATATCGTAACGTTGTTACCTTATTTTCACTGGTATCTTTTAATTTTATATCCCTTTTGGGTTCATGGTAAATTAATCTGTATCATCAGAACAAATTTATCGCCTTGGAACGATTGAACGGTTTTTGGCTCCAATAATTAAGCATAGATTTGTGCATAAGCCGTTGTATCACGAAGGAGTCTTTCAAAAAAAATTCCCTTTAATCGGGTAATGCAGTAACCACATCACATAAATCGTTATTAATTAAAAAAATATCAGAAGCTACGTTTCTTCAAAGCGGACAGCGGCAATAGAGAGTCAACCTCGTTCCCAGGGCTTTTTCCCTCACCTGGGGGTGGGACCCCCAATCATGGGAAAAGGCCCTGGGAACGAGGTTGAATACAGAGTAGCCTTTTCTAACGATATAGAAATACTGCTGACCGCCATCGCAAACTCACTATCCTGCTGTTTTCAGCCTCGTTCCCAGTGTCCTCTCTCTCCCTCCCTCGAGAAAATACCCTGGTTGCAGCTGGTTACGTGCCCTTGTAAAACAAAGAACGCCATAGGGAGGATGGATTCTCGACCAATAGACAATTTAAATCTCGAGTGCATTTTCAACATGGCAGTAACGTTCCTGAGTAGACCTCAACTAGCTCGATATTCGACTAGTTATACAGACATTTAGCAGATATCGATTTAAAATTAAACAACGAATTTTTCTAGAGGCCTAATATCTAAATAACAATTTAATGTCAGTACATCGCTAACTTTTCTGATTTTTTATGGTTTTTTATGGTTGTGAAAGGGAAGGGATATAGCGCACATGTTCTCCAAGCTCAATGTGTAAGTCGGTAGTGTTAGTTTTTTTTTTTTTTTTATTTTCAGTTAAACGCCTTCATATGCGACCAGATTTCAAGACTGGAAGAAAAATGGTTTTAAGCAGCGATTTTAAGGACGAACGGGGCCGAATCGTGCGAAGAAAGTACATTGAAAATGGGATTTTTTGATTCGGCCCAAAGTAAATCATAAATAAACACAATGAGAACTACAACGAAAGGCGACAATAAGACAAACGAGATCGAGAAAATGACGGACTTCAAATTGAATCAATCTAAATCGAAAGTTACTTTAAAAAGGTAACTCAAAATGTATGAATTAACTTAACGATGAACAAAGATGTTATGTACAACTAAGCCTTAGATTCACAACGTGTAAGCGATAATATCAAAGCTACGAAACCCTAAACATTACCAGGTGCCTGGTAAAATATATCTTATTTCCGATAAACTTTCGCCTTACTAGGGTACTTTCTCAAAGGGGAGGGGGGGAGGACCATGAGAACGAGTTTGTGCTGTTTCTCGAACGGCAAAAAAGTGAAACGCGTCATTCGCGAATACACGCCGTAACATGGTAACGTCTCACCTCCGGTATGTTGCCTTTTCCAAAGAATTTCCATTTCCCGCCATCTGTGCTGTATGAGAGTTTATAACTAGTCACCCATTCGTCATAGTTATGACTTCCTTGACTGGCTACCGCAGTTATTAACCGCAGTTTAGGACCCAAATCAATCTATATGCAAATAGATACTTTTAATCTAAATTGCGAAGCTAATGCTTTCGCCTGCAAGTTTATGATGGTTGCAAAATCTCATCCCAATGTAATTCTATTGATCGTTTAGTCATTAGATATCCGGTTGGTTATTAGTATTGAAATGCTGTAACATGTACTAAAGTCACTAGTAACGTTTTCTTAATGTTTTAATAACCTGAAGATACTGCATATCATCAACCACAGCTGCACACCAACTGCGTCGTGATTGGTTGTTCAACCGACCATACCAAGGATCACTCCTTCCAGGCTGCCAAGTGGTGGCAGATATCGAGTCATCAGCGATTTTATTGGTTGAGAGACCTAACGCATCTGAACAGTTCGCAATATTCCCTGTTTCAAAAGATTTCCGTCAGCAAGAGAATACAAAAAAGAGACCAAAAACACAGTTAATCAATTATGAAAAATTTAAGGATTGCAAATAAGGAATCGATGGCCGGGCCCCATTACAACAACCCTTATTATTTTCTTTATTATTTTCTTTATTATTTTCTTTATTCTTTCCTATCACTTCTCCTTCACTAGACTAAACTAACTCTGAGGCTTGTTCAAAAATTTAGTTGCAGTTTAAAGAGGAAATATGGCTCAACATCTCCGCGTTAAAAGGTCAGACCTATCCGTGTCTTTTCTCGAAAAAACCACCCTATTCTTTCAACGCAAATGCATGCTCAGAGGACTAAAGTCAGCCTACGTTACTAGATGGTTTGAGTCATGTCAGCGTGCATCCATGTGACTTCGTTCGAGAACTTTGTTGACGCTGCGTTTTGAAACAACATTCTCCTGATCTGGTTACTTGGCATATGTCAGGCTGATCTGGTGAAAGGTATTAATTTTGTAAGGGGTTTACCTCGAATAAGCAAGGGAATCACACCGATCTGAAACAAAAATGAAACTTAATAGTTTAACTGAATAGATATTTTATATAGAGAGGGTCTACTATTTTTCAGCTAATTTATCAACAAGGTCCATAATATTACACAGACTGGTGAATTAAGCTTTCGATTGAATTTGACTAACTACCAATGCATTTTCGGTTAACATTGCCGAAGACTTATCAGTCGTAAATAGCAAGAATGTAAGAGGATTACCACAATTTAACGGCGTATATTTTGAATCTATCGTTCTATTAACATACAAGGACTAAAGAAGTCATTGGGCGATATCCTTTAACCTATCTTTTGATTTGTTTTGGTACCCTTTTATTAGGTAAATTAAGTCATTCATGACTTTAATTTTCCTCAAAGACAAAAGGTATTTTATTGAAGACCCGATATTTCAGTCGATGTATACAGGGCGTCTATAAAATATGGATAATTTTCACTGGTTCTAGAATAACAATGTTAACTACTGCAATAAAGTTGCCTCAATGTAAAGAATGCACTCAACAAAGTTGCCTCATTGTAAAGAATGCACCATATGATTTCTAATAAAATCATCTGCTTAGACTACTCGCTAGCGGTCAAAAGACAAATGAATAAATGGGGTAACTTTCTAAAGAAACTGTGGCGCTGTGCCGGTGGTAACAAGGTAATTTGGTTTTATCAACCAAGTTGAAATTGTAAATTGCCGACCATAAAGAGTTAAATAGCTGACATTTCGAGCGTTTGCCCTTCGTCAGAGCGAATGAATGAGCGATTATTTCGCTCTAAAGAAGGGCTAACGCTCGAAACGTCAGCTATTTAACTCTTAACGGTGGCCAATTTACAATTTGAACTCAGTTGATATAACCAATTTACTCGCTAGCGAGTCGAATCAATAATTTTTCAGCGTTTATCTGAAACATAATGAAAGGCACTGAGTAAATCGCGTAAAAAAGACGGTTTAAGAATTGGCAAGTCATAGAATTAATGTTAGCATACTCAACACTAATTAACTGATAAACGTAAATTTCAATGGGATAATATGTTCAAGTTTTTAAAAAAAAATCTTTTTTCGAGGTTTGTTACGTTAGCATGACATTGGTAGTTAAGATACTAGAATGTTTACCCATGCAATGAGAAGGTGATGTAAATCATTTCGCCTTGATGTCATTTGTAAAATGTGGGACTCAATGGCTAAACGTTGATCAGAGGAAAACGCGCTGCTTTGCCATACGATTAAGGACTCCACTGCACGAAACTGAATTATCAGGAGTGACAAACAGCACGGGCTGACTTAATCAGTTTATGTTTATGCATTAGAATTATTGAAAGGAAACATAGAAAGTGAAAGACGCCCTACAAATCGTCGTAGGATAAGAAACCCTATCTAAAAACGCTTGTGATAAAAACTAGAAGCAAAGAGATCTATGGATTCCAGATAAGAGCTGGAAAATCATTCATCAGTTTTGTGCTGATATTGATTGAAGATGTGATTTATTTTCGAAACACACAACCATTCAAGCTGATTTTATCAATAATGCAGAAGATCACAGCAATGTAATTTCTCGCATCACCGGCGATGGTTCGATCAACTTATGTTTTTGTAACTGGTAACCAGGACTTCGAACAAGGCAGGTGCTGAATTTAATTAGAAATAGAAATTACGACAGCTGACTAACTCTACTAGTGTCGAATCCTCATTTGTGTGGCACTATTTGGTGCCTACTGACTTAGGAGTGGACTCAGCTGTGATCGGTCCTCAGTACTAGAACAATTAGTTCACATCCCCGATCAAGGACTCCTTTGCTGAAAAGGAAATTAATCCGGCACCTTATTTATTCTTACTAAAACAATCACAAAACGTCAGCCACATGTTTTCCTCTAATAGGCTAAAACCTGAGCTTGCGACTTTGCTGGTATTAACACTGGTACACCCAGAAGTGATCCAAATGTGACTTTTCCCCAAAAATTTTTTGTTCTCGATTTGAAACAAAATTCCCGTAACTAGTTTACAAGGAATTGCATAGCAGCTCTAGGGAAGAATTAACACTCAGATCTTAAGAGTTAAAGGATCAGTTAAACTTAAATTAATGGCCTGTAGGGTGCGACGATTAAGAGGAGTGACCCTTATGCCGCGAAAGTCCGTTTTCTAGATACCGGACATTCAAAAGTATCGATGAATGCTTGAAATTGGCACACCGCTCGATGGTTAAGCACAAAATCCGTTTCGACCCAGAAATTTTTTCTCAATGTTACGGCCTTCAAACTCAAGAAAAGCAGTCTTAAGCAACGCAATTTTTCAAAATTTCCCGCGCATGCTTTCGGAACCTCCTAGAATCTCGCACCTCCGTTGCCCATCACTAAGTTTGTTCTGCTGCAGCATCCTGATAGAAAAATGTCAACAATTTAGGCTGGCATCTATCTAATGAAACCAAAACCGTGTATAAAACTTTTCGGAGTAAGTAGCTAATGAAACAAATAACGAAGAAAAGATCAACGCTTGCTAGGTAAAGAATGCTTTTATTTGGTATCGCGCACCAACTGTATTCGGTTGGAAATATTTGTCTAAAGCCAATGAATGCAGATGAATTCACACAACATTACTTAAGTACTTTATTGGCTCGTCCCCACGGGGCTTATCAGAGTCAATGTTACAGTTCAAAATTAAAAAAATAAAACGCAGAAAGCTTAACACAGGACAAAGGTTGACTAAAAATTAAATAAAACAGCCATAAAAAAGCTTTCGCTTGAGTAGGCGCTTGTACTCCGTTATGGATGGACTAAGTTCGAGGACATGCTACAACTCATTCCACAGAGAGGTCCCTCTATATTGAAAGTTTCATCTATAAGCGCCATGTATAAAAATATTTTTATCACATTTATTCTATGCTTGGAAACAAATTCAAGTTTCAGTGAGATTCCATTTCATTCAAATAATAACCGCCTCCCGGTTAGCTCAATGGACAAAGCGCTGGACTGTTGTGCGGGAGGTCGAGGGTTCGAACCCCGGCCGGACCAACACTCAAGGTTTTAAAACAAGTGAGAAGAATATACTACCTTTCTATAAAATCAAGAAATGGTTGGATACTCTAGTCTTCTCGGAAAGGGACAAATAAATGGAGGTCCCGTCTCCTGCAGGGTTAGGGGTAGGAGACGTTAATTCCCCATGCACAAGATTACTGTGTGATGGATGTCCTCCCCTGGGGTGGGATGGTTGGGAAGGTGAGATCTATATGGACTGAAGCGGCTGCCAGAGGCGCCTGAGAATGCTGACGTCCTATCTCAACCTTAATAACATTGTAAAACCTTAGCAACTCAGCCCATGCTGCTATTAAGGTATCGTATAAACCTTTCACCTAAACCTTTCACTTTCACCTTCAAATACAGTAGTTTTAAGAGACGTATAATTTAGTAATACCTTCCTAACCGACACTGGCCCTATAAATCGCAATTTTTGACAAAAATATCTTAAGCTTGACTCTCGGAATCCGGCAATTGTCAATATCTTTTCAATGAATATTAATAACTATCAGTGAAATCAAAACATTATCTACAAGCGCTTTAAAAACTACAACTTCGACAAAATGCATACAGCTTCGAGTTTTTCCGTCATTCCAAACAGTAAGCATCATCATGTCCCCAGCTATGCAAGTGCGTCGGCTTCGTTACGATCTGAAACATTAAGTTCGAAAGACAATTTGGGTTCGCGGCCTAGGTAGAACGTCATCACTTCTAACATCTTCGCATCCGCCTCACAATAACCAGAAATGGAGATGGCATGCCACTGCTCTACAAAGGAAAGCTCCGAATCAGCGACATCTTTGTCCAAATTGTGCAAGGAATTTAGCCTTTCCCTAAGTAATTTACGTTGCTTCTTGAGAACAAGAAGATTTTCTTTAACACTTTTACTTTTCACGGTTCCGTTTCCATTCCCTCCAGATCTCCTCCAGACTTCGTTTCCAGCTTTAAACTCAGAGTGACTACCAAAGGAAGACTTCAAATAAGATAATAGGAAATCAGCCATTTCGTACTCGGAAGACTTCTCGCCAATCTCAGCATTAACGTCATTGTAAGTGTCCATTATGACGGCCAGGATCATGTTGATAAGAAAAAATTGCATAGCTATCACAAACAGAGCAAAAAACAATGGCCCCAGTATAGCCTCCGAATCACTCAGCTCCATAAAGTATGCCTTTCCTAGTGTCATAGCCAGTGTAGTTTCACAGGTCGTGAAAAAGTTACTAAATCCTTCGATCTCACTTCCAAAAACAACGTAACCAAAGATATTAAAAGCAAAAATAGTAAGTAACACTTGCATTCCTAGTGGTAGCAGCTCTGCTGCGGCACGAGAAATTGTATGCGAAAGGACAGCAATGTGACGGTTAAAACTCAGCAATTGGAGAAACTTTAAGGTAGCAATGAATACAATGGCACCCATAACATAAATGCTAACTTCGTCCCACTTCACTGCATAATGAAAGCTTACGAATATAAATGGGTTCTCCTGAACTTTTTCGATAGTCCAGTTTGTGTTCATCAGTCGGATGAAGAACAATGCTATAGCAGAGATGGATAACCCAATCTGTGCAACATCAACAACATTCCAAGCCTTTTTGAAAAATCCTTTTCTTTCCCTTACTATCTTCCTGCAAGTAACGTAGAGAACTATTGCAACAGTCACAACGGCCACAAACTCGCAAAATGCAACCACTTTAGTCCACGGACCGATGTGCTGATATAGGCGGAAAGTATCAACTTTCAAGTGCGTTGAAGAACCCCCAGTACCCGCAAACTCCACCAAGTAAGTAACACTGCTGAATATATTGGCTGGAGCATTGAACACAGTAAGCTCGACAAAGATTGCACGTGTGTACTCATCAAACCAGTTGTAGGTTTGTAAATCGCTCATCGCTTTTCTTGCCTGGTCCATGAAGTAACCCAGGTCAGCAGTATATCCTCCACCACTGTAAATCGCTTTGCTGCCCCAAAAAGGCAGTCCGTCCAGTTTTAAAGCTGTTTGATATCGCCACGAAGCCGGACATGCCGAATAGCTCATGTCGGAGTTTTTTATCCATCCCGGTAAATAGAAGTCTTTTTCCTCATCGATAATGGAGTAAGAACCACTGCAGCTCATGTTTAGGTCTATAGAGTATTCGCTTGTACAGTTTCCTTCAAACAAAAAAAAGGGAAAGCTTCACCCGCTGTAGTAAATCAAATGTAACAGCAACTAGTTTGTGCTACATTTATTCCGAAGCGGATTTGAATTCAATTAATCTTGTCAACGTCCCTAGTGCAACGGCCTTTTAAATCAAACAGTCCTAAAAATAGTTTAAAACAATATGGAAGTCATAGAAAAGCATTTCAATGGCATACCTTTCTTGGACCTGAGTTGTCTAAGGCGTGGCATACCAATAACATACAAGTACTTGTCGTCAGTGAAGCCATCTGATTTGTCCTCATCACCGTTATACCACTTCTTGTCAAAGACAAAAGGTAACAAACCATTTTCCAAGAAAGACCAAAGACTCTGGATATCGTTAGTCTAGATAAAGTAAAAATATAAAACCAATAACAAATACCGCATGTAATCGTTCGCACGTGTTTAACAAAACGTGGCGCTTTCGTTCTATCTTCATCAGGTTTCTCACATATGAAGGGGCCTGAATACTACAGCCAACAAGGGACTAAAAGCTTCGGCCATACAAGGGAAGGACACATAAGTTAATGATAAAGTAGTCTGATCTTTCAGGTAAGTGAAGTTCTGAGAAAGTTCGTTGTTCAAGTGTAAGTCACTACTACCGACAACAGTCCTTCTCAGGGCCACGCTCACCCGAACGATCAAATCACTCTATTTCATGTTGAAACCGGGTTTAACACCACTTACATAATAAGTTAACTAATAGCAGTAAGACATAAAAGCCATCATCCCGTGTGTATCCACCAAAATAGTTAGGTCTCTCTTATTGGCGTCGAGTGGCATTGTCCCTTGCGAGAACTTACAGGATGAGGGACATGAAAGACTATAACTAGCGAGATGGCATTTAAAGCACAAAAACGTCATTGAGGAAAAAATGCTGGACATAAAGTGGCGAAGATTGGATGAATGTATTAGGGTTGGTAAACTTGAATTCTTACCGTACCTGTTCACCGAACACGTTTCTGAGATGTCTGCTCTGAGCGAAAGCGTCTGGGTCTCTCATAGAATAACTTATCACCAGCAACGACGACAAAAATAGCAGATGTAAGAAGTTTTCTTTCAGTATCCTGAGAGCTTTCATCTCGTTCAATTTGTACTTCCTGGCCTTCTCCACTAGAGTCTCGTCTGGAGGTTCAGATATGTAGGTTTGTCGTTTAATTGCCTCTTCTCTGTCAAATAAGTTTGGTTTGGCGTCTACGCTGCTTGTTTTCCTACTCGCAGATGAGCCTACTGTTAAGTCACTGGGTAGTTTCTTCAAAATGGATGAGACAACTAAGGCAGCAAGGAAGATTTTTAGGGGTTGTGTTATAAATGCGTCCTGGAAGAATGAGATAAGCATTGATGACAGCCACTTGTTGGATATCTCCTTTCCCCACTGCATACTGTAAAACAAAGTAAATAAGGCGGAAGTCATCACTATGAGAAAACACAGGTGATATGCGATGTAGATCCACCAGTGAGGTAAGCGTCCCCCTGAAGCTTCCTGGTTTGGTTTTACTGGAACATCTTTGTCCGACCACTCATCACTGACAAACACTGCGTTTCTTCGGAAGGAACATGGCCTTCTATATTTTGAACTAGCTGTTTTCTTAAGCTTTAGATTTCGAAATATCTGTAAGACTATGATGTTGATTGGGAGTGTAATAAGACTGCTCTGAATTCCAATAATGATTTGCTTGAGACTCAATGTAAGTGGTCCAATGGAAACAGTGGATTCGTCAGGCCTGTTTGCAATGTTGTAAAACATTGCGTTTGTTATCATAGCACTAAATAGAAGCGACATACAGCAAGTCAATCTCTGGACACGTGTAAAGTTACTCTTTGAGGGTTTACCAACAACAGAGATCCAAAGGTGGCCATCAAATATGTCTTTCGATGTCTTAGTGCGAAAAAGGACCCCAAAACTTGTTAGTTCCTTTTTGTCGCTAACTAGCAGAACCCTCCTTACAGAGCCGTCTCCTCTCTCCAAGGCGAGCCAATGATCACATGCGAAAATATACTGTTCCCCTGTTTTATTATCGCGAATAATGACGTAACTGAGATACCAAGAAGAATTTATGCCTGACAAATCATGCCATACTGTAAGGTACAACAATTTCCCAAGATTATCAGGAAGTGATACAAGGAATTCATTCGTCGACCCTCTGGTGAATAGAGACTTGTTTTCATCCCTCAAAGCAATGGGGTTGCTTTCGCCACCCTCACCTACCAGGACTATAAAGACATTGGCCGTTGTACCAGAACCTCGCCATGAGCCAGTTTGGATTATAATCTCATAACCGTTTTGGGGTACACCCTCGTGGGTTTCTATCGTCGTAGGAATTCCCTACAATGGCAAGAAAATTATTAGTAATATCAATTGAAATGCATTATATTCTTATGAATATCCACGATTACATTTTGCGCTGCCCTGCTCAAAGAACATCTCTCACAAGACAAATTATAATTAAAGCCTTGTCCACCACTCCCTCTTTGTTAACGACCGTTACGTAATATCTATGAACAAACAGCTCTTCTAGCCTTTGAAGAAATTAAAAAAAAAAAAAGGACACGTTTTCTGGTTTGAAAGGACGTTGTCTTGTGGAAAGTTGCACCTCTTGGGAGTTACTTTCAAAGCCACCTCTAAAAGTTAAAGCCTCTGAGAAAACAAAGGATTTAGTGAGAATCCAGATAAAAGGTTTCAGGCTCAACTTTGCTCAGTTTTTGCATCGTTTCTCTTACTGATGACATATTCATATCCAAAGCCCAATATTTATGGACCAACTTACAATAACTTCATCCCGCTTGTCCATTCTTCTCAGCCACACCACCATCAAAATATAGATGGCGAATGCTGTCACAATAGTTGCCAGTACAGCAACATTATCAGACAAATTTTTGAAGCCCTCGAACACTTTATCAAAGTCTATAGGATTTGGAGCTTGGATGAACCCTCCTCCAAAAGAAGTCAGATGATTACATAGACAGTGGACTCGGTCAATTCGAGTCTTGTTCCCAACCTGTGAGTAAAATTATTCAAGCACTGTCATGAACATCTTGAATTTTATTGCAGTAATTACTCTGCGACGAAATTATAACTTCAGAAACAATAACATTTTTCTCCCTTTGTAACTATACCTCCCATGATTGATACCTGCTGTAATTGCATCAAATCATGTAACATCTCATACCATAACATGTACGTACCGTTACTTCTCTATATAATTTATCATAAGTTTCATTACAACGCACACACTGATTTGTAGAATAAGCGTGCTTGGTGCGAGTATCGGTTAACGGTAAGTGGTGATAAGCCACGATCTGAGCTGATTTTTGTTTTCACATTTTACAGCAAGATTTTAATGAATTTGACCAAATGAAAGTTTCTCTCAGAGTATGATTTAGTTGCTATTTTGAAATAAAACAAGCAACGAAGGGAATGGAATGTTTTTTATTTGCTTGGAAGTCAGGCGACGTTTGTAATGCCGACTTTGAGATATGTAATACATTCGTCAACAATGTGGCGGAAACTTTCCTCAAAAAGACAGAAAGAATGGCGGCAAAACTTAAATTACTAGCCAAGGTAGGTAGAGGGTTCGTTAAGTTAAAATTACTTTCCTCGACGAACCCTTCGTAAAAGCGAACTTTCGCTTAGTACTTTTTGAGCTGCAACTAAGACTTCTAGAAGAACACATTCCCCACCGTACCTGAACTCGGTATTGTTTTTAGTTTTTTGTTTGTTTGTTTTTTTTTTTTTACTTCCAAGTACCCTCGAATGGAATTCGCTAAACTTGAATCAACAATCAGGCAGAAGAAAAGAGCATAACCGTAATATACAGTTTTACTACGATAAAATTTTCAAACCGTTGTACAAAATCAACGGTAAGAGTTATTTGCAAGATCAATGTCGCACGTTAAGAACTTAGGCGGCCTGCATGGCTTAGAGAGCCAGCTGACAAGCCCGTAAATTGGCCACTTTACAAGTTGTGAAATCATCGTTTCTCGGTCTCAGACCTCGTCGCTCCCCCTCTTTCCTTTTCCTGCGCTGTAATATTGAGAAATTGAGAAATACGGCTAAACCAAAAGTTACACTTATCATGTCAAAGTGTATCACGGTGTTACTTACCTTACATCCCTTGGAAGCCCATGTCTCGTTCTTGACGTTCCAGTATTTACATGGTGATGTAAAACTATTAACTGTATAATTGACGTCGTTATCAGCATCAAAGTTGGGTATTTGAAGAGTGTATTCCCCCCGTGGATCAGTCGTTGGTCGAGGTGGAGGATCTTTATATCTTATACAAGAGCGTTTGATTCGAGCACCATCGGAACAAGATCTCCGCACTCGAGACTGCGTACCATTTGATGCCTGATAACTCCTGATACCCAGGTAATATTCGCCAGATCTTAGTAGCGATGACCTGCTTATGAATACCGTGTAAGGATCATACTCGCAGTTCTCAGTCCCGTCATCCAAAACATTACATGACGAAAAGTCTGGCACAACAGTAACCAAGTATTGGTCTCCCATCTCGGGACGCTCCTGATAGCGCCAATAGATCGCAAAAAATACATCACTTTTGCTAGGTTTAATCTGAAAACTCATTGGTTGTTCCAAGTTTGTAATGTCAAATTTATGATAACGAATACTTCCGTTACCCCCTTTTACGAAAGCTGGGGATGGTTTCGGAAGCAACCTTACGTTTTGAGGTATAAACAGGTTGATTTCATTTTGAAGAGAAGATACGTTTAATTCATTTTTTTGTTCATCTTTCAGCACAACCATGAGAATGTGGGAAGAAATGGTCGAAGATGTACTGTCCCACGTGAATGGGTTGGTAGGAAAAACAAGTACCTGGGAATAAATTGTAAGAGAGTCATTGGATGTATTTGGCCACTAGCTTAACACTTGGGAAAATGCGAGTTACCTAACTTTTTCATGCAAAAAAATAAAAACATGAGAGGGTGAAAATTAAATAAAGAGTGTAGGGAAGTGAGTTAAAGTGTATTCTTTACTTGTTTTCCCTCCTCCCTCTCACTTTTCCATTAAAGTTTCCTTAATTTCCTATGACTATCTCACCAGTACTCCATTAAACGTTTCGCTTAGCCTCAGGTCGATGACAAACTTAAGCAACCGATATACTTGAGCTGAATATCATATTTTGCTACCTGTAAATCCACGTATCCACTGGCCGAATTTCCACCGAATACTTCAGTGAGGTTAGGAAAGTATACAGACACTTGTCCATTCCCAACGGTGTGCTCACCAACTATGTCCGATCTCATCTTTTGCAAAACCATTGACATTTGAGGTACAGACATAACCACAGGCTCTTCTCCAACAACGGTTAAAGAACTCAACACATCAGTAACATTACCGAGAGTTTCCATGGCATCAGTTGTAATTGCCTTTGCCTAGAAACAATTAATAAAACGTCGAGGGATCAAAAATGGATATAGCGGTTATTTACTTAAAGGTTGTTAATGAGCTAGAATAGGAGTATTTGTTGTGAACTGAGGTAATGTCTGTGAAAGCTTGCATTGTTCCCATTCATTGCTTAGTGAACGAAGTAATTGTTAATTCGCGCAGTGCTTTTTGGTGCGGTTGTAAAATTGTTTTTTTAGTCAATAAAGAATCTATATAGAATATCACTCAATCGAAATACCTTTTCAGTGGCGTTAGAAGACCGTTGCAACTCCTGAGAAGAATATTCCTCGTAAACTCGGGCCGAATCGCTGGACGCCATGACGATATTCACTAAGCCCGCTCCTACAACGATCGCTGTGTCATTGATGTGACTTGAAAGAGTTTCCCTGTCATAAGACTTTTTATTGATCAAGTCTGCCATGTCTTGATAGGATTTGAGGCTAGTTTCCTGAAATTTTTTGAACGGTATCACGAATGATAAGCACTTTGTTTGAGGACTTCAATGTTTCATAATATCATTCAGACAAGTAGCAAAGCATAGACAGTAAGAAACAATTAACAGGAATGCAAGATCCTAAATGGGGAAGCAATGTTTCAATCTTTTTAACCTTCAAAACAACGTGCTTCGTGCGAAGTTTCGTACCTGAATGTGGACAGGAATCTCGTCTTTAATCATGATCACTTGATTCAAAACTGATCCTAATTGCTTCACATCAGAGAGAGATGATGCTGTTCTGTTTGTAAGGATAGTTGCCAATGTCGCTCTTAGCTAAGAAATACAAGACCTTGAGCAAGTCAGTCACATATTGTCGTTGAAAGGATGGAATTTTTAATCGCTTATCGCATTCACGAGGTATATTACATCGTGATACAGATCTCAACGTTTTTCAGTCTACGTTGGCAGACAACGACATTTACAGAACATCATTGTCTTACTGCCTTGGACCACAGACATGCAACTGGACGACACTTAAGTGTGGTAGCCTAAACATGACTATAGAACTCTGATCTAAATTTCGGGTTCCTTTAGTACAACAGGTAAGGACAAAGAAAAATAATTTCATCGAAAACTCCTTGACTTGCGCAAAAATAGTATATAACAGAAATAATGAGAGATAAAAGAACAAGTCAAGCTTTCTACCAGTAAGTTGGAGCTAACGTTTTAAAAGGAAGTTAAAACATATTAGAGAAATCAAAAGTCTCACTTGTTTTCGCTTCTCTTTTCCTGTACTTTCATTTTGCATTGCAAAAGTATTCAGAACAGAGGCGATCGCATTCATCTCGCGAGTGGCTTCCTGTGTCTTTCCCTCTTCCATCAGAGAAGACAACGACTCAATTGCGAAGTTCTGGAACTTTGATAAGGTCTCACTTTGCTGTTTTGTACCAAGGAGTACCTGTAATTGAGCGGATAACAGAATGAAACTAGTGGAACTATTTTTGATTCTTCGACTAATGTATACATATATATACATATATTAAATATATTATACATATATTACATATACTATATATATACATATATTAAAAACTGGATCATTGGATAATGCAATTCAAGACTTAAGAAAGATGACTTCGGTCGTGTATCTTTAATAGATCCTTAGTTGGGTTTCATATGGGGTTATAGCCTTCCCCTACCCTGTCACCTTGGAAATCAAGTTTCCCGGGAGACCACGTCTCCGATCACGTAAATCACATCTTCGATTGCCTTGTTGCCAGCATATTTGTCCTGATAATGTAGTGGTCAGCACACCTGACTAGTACAGGGGGACGTGGGTTCAAATCCCGCTCAGGGCAAACTTTCTTTTCAAACATTTATTCTATTTAAGTATGATTATTTGGGGTGTGCAGGGTCAGGGTTTCCCTCGTATACAGAATTTTTTTAATTGAAATTAGCCTGTATCCGTAATTGGATCCTCCTTTGTCATCCGCTAAGTTGACTTCGGTCGTGTACGTATCTTTAATAGATCCTTAGTTGGGTTTCATATGGGGTTATAGGCTTCCCCTACCCTGTCACSTTGAAAATTAAGTTTCCCTGGAGACCACGTCTCCGATCACGTGAATCACATCTTCGATTGCCCTGTTGCCAGCATCTTTGTCCTGATACTGTAGTGGTCAACACACCTGACTAGTATGTGGGGACGTGGGTTCAAATCCCGCTCAGGGCAAATTTTCTTTTCAAAAATTTATCCTATTTAAGTATGATTATTTGGGGTGTACAGGGTCGGGGTTTCCCTCTTATACAGAATTTATAGATTTATATATATATAAATGGCTTAGACGATACCACAAAGGTTGGATCGTTTGGGGTGACCGTCTCGGTTCTCCCCCATCCTAGCATAAGCACTGCACTGACGAGGCCCAGAAGGCCGAAACAGTACTGTCTGCAGTTAGTTATATATATATAGGAGAAGTAGTGTGGCACACGAGGACGGACAACTTCGAGCGAAGGAAGACATATACTCAATAAAAAGTCTAAAAAGTTTAATAAAAAACGTTTCGGTCCGAGACCTTCATCAGTTGTAATACAATGACATCAAAATTCCTTAAATAGATTTATATAGGGCGTGATGACACATATAAACAAACACAGTAATTACTACGCGAAAAATTATCACTATAAAAAGAAATGGAAAAATTGTCGAATCCACTGAAAATGTAAAGGAACCAGCGTTGACTCGAAAGGCGAGAATTGTACTAAAATTCCCAATTAACGCTGAGACTGGAACCTTTGACGCCCGCCCCATTTGAAAAGATTCTCCGCATTAATTATAGTTTATTCTTTTTTTGGAGTGAAATTCCTGGATGAAATTCAAGCCGAAGGGTGCCAGAGAGAACAGCTGTGCGCTCCAATATGCTTCTTTGGTAATTAGAAGTTTCTCGATGTTACCTGAATTGTTTACTGTTGCCTGCACTTGATCAATGCATTGGAATGAGAAATCGCTTAAATCATGTGGTGTTTTATTAAAATGTACCGCTACTTCACAGGTCTTTTTCTTAGTGACCATAGCAGACTTGTGGTTGCGAAATCTAACCCTATATTTACATATATATACATTTATTAAAAACTAGATCATTGGATAATGTAATTCAACACTTTCTATTGGCTTAGCCATTATGGTATATCAGCCAATATACCATAATCTACAAATATGGAAAGCGTAAGTGTCAGCTTGAAATTAAAAGGGAGCTTAAAATTTGATAACATTTAATAATTTAATGCAGCGTTGTTAATAAAACAATTATTCCACTCGCGTTTGTTGGATATGAGATGATTATAGCCAACTTGGCGCTACGCGCCTCGTTGGCTATCTATCATCTCATATCCAACACGCGCTCGTGGAATAATTGTTAAATATATAAATATATAAATATATAAAAAATAAAATATATATATATGAATCCCACAAATATGGGATCGTTCGGGGTAACCATATCGGTTCTCCCCCATCCTAGCATCAGCACTTCACTGATGAGGCCCAGAAGGCCGAAACAGTACTGTCTGCAGTTTGTGATCTTTATACTAAAATAAATGAAAACGAAAGTCCCCTTTTACTTTGCTTTACGCTACCCTACAAACAAAGTAAATAATTAGCAAACATAGGAAGTACCCAGATATTGATATAAACGATGATATTTCCTTGCTAGTACATCCTCTACGAGGAATAACCACGCACGACTTGGTGGCAAATCCTTTTTTTCATACAAACAATTTCCTGTTTACATACCTGAACATCCATTTTTGTGGTGTTGTATGTGCCATGAGCATCAATTACTTTCACTTCAAAATTCAGTGTGAAATTATTTTCCATATCACCGACTGGTAATTTGGTACGGAAAACAGGTGAAATATCATCATGCAAGAGAAACACAACCCCGTAACGCGTGTAATACATAAACTCATACGACAATGGAAGATCTTCATCAGCCCATCCCTTGCACTCGAATAAAAACGAAGTCTCGTCTGAATAACCACCAGGTTTGTCCACAAAGCAATTTCCACCACGAGGTGGGATATTGACATAAAACTCCAATTCGCTGTATCCGTCCGTTCGGCCACGTATCATTCCAATAACAGAAACCTTGTAAGACCTCCCAGGCTCTAGTGTGTTCTCAAGAAGATTTATGTGGTTAATATTTGCAACATCTGTGGCTTTGAATTTCGTCCAGGAAAATGTTTCTCCTTCTTTAATTTTCTCGTAGATATTCCATTGGTATCTTACTTGAAAAGTGCTTTGTGATTCCAAGGGGTCAGTTTGAGCTTCTAGAAGAAGTCTTTCCGCTGGGTTAACTGTTGCACCACAGTTTTGTTTGCACCTAGGGGAAAGATATATTCGAAAGTCACGTGAAACGTCTGTTCTTCTGTTGTAGCGATATTTCAAAAAATTAATCTTTCAGCTTAAAAGGTGCTCTCTGCAGATGGTGAGCTCTCAAAAGTAAAGTTTATGTTGGATATTATTTTTAGCAATTAATCTCTACCACTGCATCTCTTCCTCCGTTTTTTTTTTTTTTTTTTTTTTTTTTTTTTTTTTCATTTAACTTCAATAACTATCCCAATTATGAGTAAGCCTAAGAGTAAATATATCGTAGATTATGATCTTATGTAATTTGAAACAGGAAAGCAGGAATGTTGTAACTATGTTTTGAGTTATTAACAAGACATATCTTTTACACTTGAAATACCATAGTAATTTGAAGGTATCTTCTAACCTGATTTTAATATCTGGTGGGTCACCATCAACAATCTGTACCACTTGAGTAAATCTGGAGATTCGAAAGTGATTATTTACTGTCTTGGAGACAAAAAGAGCCACTGCATAGGAAGAATACGGCTCAAATGTGCGTGTGTGAATTTCAATGGACGATCCACCCTTCATTAAGATTCCGCTTCTGGATCTATTACAGAAGGTTGATGCATTGAAATCAGAGACATGAAGAAGAGAAGTTTCCCTTGTCAAATATTTCAAATCTTCCTGTATTTCCAAGGAAGAATTTTGACAAAGCCAGTAGTACTGTAATTTGGGTCCAGCGTCATCAGGGTCACGAGAATCCGAACCGTGTAATACGTAAGGCTTATCAAAGGCTCTTTGAATAAGACTCCCTCCTTCGATTCTTGCTATCAAGGGGTTGCCTTGTATTTCAATGAAGCCCTCCTCGATACTATACACATCGTATTGTCCTCTCATACTGACATTACATCTAATCATATATATACCATATGTCAAGGTCTTTCTCTGTATCGTTAACTCCTTGAGCTTTTTGTTGTCTGGGTTAAGAATGGTAATTGTTCCAGGTTTATCCTTTGATAAAGATGACACCTTAGAAATGCTCCAAATGATATCCTTTTGGTCAGTTGCCCTGCAATCGATTTTGGTAACAATAACACGAAAACGAACTATCTGCAATGGAGTAAACACTGTTCGAGAATTTATGTCTTTCTTAAACTCTGGTATCGTTATGGTGGGAAAATTGCAAGGTATTTTTACCACAAGGGCTTTGTCCTGTAAGAAGAAACGAGAGACACGATTCCACGCTGTTACGCTTACATCGTAACCTCCTAACGAAGAGTAGTTGTATTTGATAGAAAAAAATTTTCCAGCGAAGTCCAAGAATCGTTCCGATACGTTTTCATGGCTGCAATCTTCGTGACCAAACCCCAAAAATGTTCCATCGCCAAGGTTAATCACAAAGCAGGAATTTGTTCCCCTTTCTTCTGTTGATATGTTAAAAATTACCATTTCATCAATTGGCCTCGGGCAGTTGTTGGTGAAAGACAGGTTTGTAATTGCTTGCTGTACCGTAACATGTCCTCTTTGGACTATAAAGCCAAAGTTGTTTGAGCAGTTGACGATCACGTTGAAAATGTTTATTGTTATGTATACATGGTGGACAAATGAATTGTTTTGAAAAGAAGATGTTTGAATTAAACTTCCATCTCCAAAATACCAAAAGCATAGATAAGGGAACCCTTCAGTAACATTTAACACCATTAACACCGGCTCTGTGACGTTGGCTGAGGAAACGTCTAGAGTTGCATTACCAAGTGAACAGCCTTTTTGAACAGTTATAGCAGTTCGTACCGAAAAGGCACTTATATTGTTGTAAACAATCACGCTGATGTTTTTCATTCCACTTTCCGGGTACTTGTACACCAGTTCGGGAGATCTTTGTGTCAAATTTATTCCATCGTCCAATACAAACAGAAATTCCGGGTTAGAACCATTAGATACATTCAATTTTATTTCGATAGGGTCATTTTGGTAGATGTCATCAAAGGGCCCAAGATTCTTGATAAGCACACACGAAACATTGACTGGAATCTCAACTATAATATGTCGAGACATTGTGATGTTGTTCAACTCATTCATTGCCATTACCACGACGCGGAATACTCCCAGGCCAGTGTAGATATGCGAATTATTCCTCCGTAGGGCCTTTCGAACAGAAGAAAATGACGAAGTTTCTGTCGAGTTGTCTCCATAATCGATTGAAAAACGAACCATTGAACCTAAGTCTATTTTCCAGTTAATTAAAAAAGTATCTCTAAATGAAATAGCGTTAACCATTTCGTTCACCACAAAACCTGTAATAGCATCCTGCACCATGATAAGACGTCTCGTTATGGTGTGATTTTCAGCTTGTAAAACCAGTTCCACAAAGCCAGTTTTGTTGTAAATATGTTCAATTTCGCAAAGCGATGTGTTGGTGACATTGCAATCCCCGAAATCCAAGCTTGCTACTTTGCCAACGCAGTTTTTAATCCTGATTACAACCGGTGCATTTCTTGTTACAACAGAAGGAACTGTTACGTCGAGTGCTGAAATGTTACACCATGCAAAAGATTGTCAAAAGACTAGTTTAGCTTTTTTGCAAACCAATTTGAATCCTATAGCTAGTTAATAACAATTCGAATTAGATGTGAAAAAACTACTCTACAACATACAAATTCCAAGCTGAAGATCTGCACGCTTCTAATCACTATTTAATTTAAAAATTTTCCGATTATCGGCGTTGAATCTATTTTATTTATTCCGATTCCTTTTGAATTAAAATTACAATTCATTCTGTTTACTTTCAATTATCTTCGTGTCATTTCGGACAATACACTGTACTTAAATATAAAAGAAAAGAAAATATAAAATGTAAACTATACACGAACAAAAAAAAAAAAACCTTATGTTTCTCTTCTAGGAGGGCATGTAATTCAGTTAGTTTTTTAACTGCTTGCTGTAAACTAGAGTTTCAGATTTCCGAAGGGTTTGTTGTCGGCACAAAGCCTAATTCGGCCCCATATGTATAATCCAATCCATGGCAGCATAGTAAACACGTTGATGGCCCGTATACTTGAAGGTCAGTTCGTACTGGGGTAACTACGATCTTTGTCTTGAGTACTGTCCGAGGCTGTTAGCAATTCGTTCTCAGTAGGTATCTTCATACCGGAATAAAATTTATCTTTATTTAGTTAAGAAGTAACAATAGTCCCACCTGGGCAGATGTGTGTATTACAAACCACTTCCTCTTTATCGGCTCCCAATGATGAGCAGTCTTTGCCACCATTCTCAGGCTTCGGATTGTCGCAGGTTCGCTCTCTATACTGAAATCCTCCTACACAAGTGGCGCTACACGCTGACCAAGCCGACCATTCGCTGTACCCGCCCTCAATGACATTGGCTGGTTTCGAATCAAAACAACAAAAGTGCAAAATTTACACTCGATTTATTCTTTCGCATCTTGTTCACCAAAACAACAAAAATAAATTCGTAAGATAATTGAAGATTTATTGAAATTGGAAAACAATTGTACAGACTTCAATTGAAAAATTCTTCATTTTTACTTGCAGTTTAAAAAGGAAAAGAATACCTTCGTACTTTTAAACCCAGACTAACATCTTCGATAGATTTACCTGATAACTAAGTATAGTATAGTTTTTCATTTTTTAAGTCCAGATTTTACTTTTACCCACTGAATATATAAATTATCATCATTGAAATCATGGTGAAAGTAAGAAAAAGGACAATAACAAATGATAATAATTGTAACTTGCCATCACATCCAAAAAGTTCCACTCTCATGCAAATCTGTTGATGCCAGGACTTCACCTCAAGCCTGACGTACAGTACATCTTTAATGTTATCAAGACTATGTGTAACTGTACTAAACTGGTCAGTATTCCCTGGGAAAACCTGTTTATCCATAAATGCGAGACAAATATTAGCTATTCAGGCTCCTCGAAACAGAATTCTCGCTATTTTAGCACACTGCTCCAGCTCGCTGCAGCAGTAGCCCTAGCAATAGACTCCCTTTGTTGTTTCAGTTCCTTTAGTTTAACAAAGTACGACGAATGAGGTCAAAGCAACATGTATCGCCATTGTATCATGGGGGTCAGAGTCTTCCTGAATGAGCACTTTCGAAAAAAAGTCGGCGCAAGATCACCGTCAGGGACAAGCTATACATTACATGAATTTCTGGATGAGGTCTTTGCATACAGAAACGAAAATGATAAAAAAGAAAGAGAGTGCATTCCGAACATAATTTTGTACCATTAAAAAGGAAATGCCCAAGAAACGTGAAAAACAAATGTCGTTTTAAGGAGACAAAAATAGTGTTAAAATACTGAATAGGACAGATTTTCAGAGAGAAATGAACGACTACATTTATGGAACTGTTACCTAAAGAGTCAGACGCAAACTATGAACAGCACCACGCGAGAGTCTTTGAGGACACCATGCAAGAAAGTAAGCAAACAGTTAATACCTTGGTAAATCTATCAACAGTATAAGGCTGAAAGGTAGATCCTTCCTTATCCCGATAATACAACGCATATTCCGTGACCCACTTTCCATCTTTATGATGTATTCCCTGGGTGGATATTCCAGTAATCATTTTACTATCTTTCAGAGCAATCTGCAGATACTCTCCTGTTAAGTTTTTCTCTGCGCACCAGCTTCCATTACCAATCAAGCGATTAAGCCTCGCATTCCGAGGCTCGTTGCCCACACCATAGCTACTCGCTGTGAACGAATCGTTCGATAATTCTCCATCGTTTACACCAAGAGGGAAGCCACAAACTATGGTAAAACAAGTGATTATACGTCTAAACTATAGTTGTGTGTAATGTTAGGAAAGCTGGTTCTGTCGTGCGTTTTCTTCAATAAGATGCCTTAAACATCTTTACCGCCCAAAACCAAAAAACGCAAAAAACAAAACAAAACTAAACAAGGAAAATATTCAGCCTTCTTCAATAAAGGTGTTTGGGAACTATGTTATAAACTCTGATGGCCAAAAGCTGGCTGCAAGCGTTTCTATGTGAGCGGGTAAAAGCAAGCATTCCTCCTCTATTTCTTTCTTCCCCTCCCCCCTTCACCTTCCCCCTGCACTTTCAGGCAAATAACTAACCCATCTTTTCCATACTGGTAGCCATTCTAAACATAAACAGACTCACTGCATAATTCCGGTGAGTCTCAGTCAACCAGACTTAGATAATTACTCAGTCGGACAGCCGATCCGTCAGTCAATAAAACAAGCGGTCGGTCAGTCAGTCAGGCAGTGCTGAATTCCTCGGCTCAAAATTATGATATCAAAAGAAGCGAAAATCTTACGAAATAATCAATACTACCAAAATTCGGATTTATACTTCTTGGGCTGTAATGATTTCTGACATATTTCCTATTTGTCATGATTAAATGTTGCTGTGGTTTTTAATTTCAGTACCTTGGTAACCATATAGCTCGACCCTCATGCAGACGTGGTTGAACCACATGACAGGAAGAAATCGGATGTAGCGAGCTTCAATTTCTTCTGTCATCTGTTGCTGAACAATACCATGGTCATTGGTGTTCCCCTGAAAGAGCTGAAATGAACAACAAACACTGACGCTACCAATGAAAAAAAATATATAAATCACAATACTGAGACTTGAGATATAATTTCAAAATTTCTAAAACAAAATGTCAATGGAGTTTCATCCTGTGAGATAACCAAATGATGGTAAGTTTCCATTCTTGTATACAGAATATGCCACAGAGACATTATCATGAGGAAATAAGTTAAATTATTATACATTGTAGTCACCATCTGTCTTCTCATTGGCTAAATGCCCACAGTTAATTCTGGGAAACAGCACAACCAACAGGTTATTCACTAATCTGTACCTACAGATTAGTGAATAATCTGTAGGTTGCGCGCACAATGCATGATTTCCGGTGGAGCAATGTCAAGTTCACGGACAGCGAAGTAAGAATGGCTTCTCGATTCGCTTCATCGACCCAGCGAGAAATTGAGAAGTTACTTGAAGATAAAGATTCGGAAAATACTAAAAGAATGTATAATAAATCAATTACTGGATTCGGTTTTTTGTGAAATCCGGAATAATCAAGGTCTCGGTTAGTATTATCACTTACTTTGACCTTAACACTTACTTTGACCTTGATTATTCTAGATATCACAAAAACCCCATCCAATAATTGTTAATGATCTTTGCGTTTAAGCGATTTGTCATTTGATCCCGCGAATAGTTTCATTTTCCTGTCACCCTTTCACTTTCCTCTTGTTCTCTTTTTCTAGACAAGTGGTACTGATTTTAAAAAAAAGGTGAGAAAATTGAAATTAGTCAGATGACCTATCAAAATTAAAGTTAAAACTCTGATAATACCTTCACTGAGTCATTTTCCTTGTACTTTTTCCATACGGACCCATTCAGGCTGTGGGACAAATTAAACTGTGTCACCCAGCAGCTTTTATCAGTCCGATGACTTCCTTGAGTGGCCACGTGAGTAATGTTATGAGTAGTGCCCAAGTCAATTTCTAAATACTGTTCGTGGTTGTCTTCTCCGGCGCGCCAAGCTTCGCTAAGGAAGCCTACATCCAAGCGGGCTCGCCATGGCTCGTTAGCAGGTCCTGCATGACTGGATGCAGTCATGGCTGAATTAGCAATCTTGTGTTTTTGTATTCCAAGAGGTATACTTCGACCTTGTAATTTTAACAAGAAATCGATAAAAATTTAAAACCGATGATATCTAATCTTTTAGATTTAAATAGCATTACGAAAAGTTATATAATAGGATGACTAAAGGAAACAATACGAGAGCTCGGTGTATTATAAGAAATTGAACACTCATGAAACATTATGCAATTCTATTTTAAACACCAAAAAGAGGGAAAACAGTGAGTATATATAGTGAAGCCATATTGATATCATCTTTACTTTATGATCATATGATTTTGGCGAGGTTTGACCTTTATTGTGTGATTAATTGGTTGATGCAAATCATACTGACCAATGGTTCGTAGGTCGAATCGCATGCAGATATGTCCGTTCCAGCTGATTGGATGCATCCTGATTAATCGCGCCCTCACTTGTTTCATAAATTTCCGAGTGACAATGGATGAGCTATCGTTATTTCCCTGAAATACCTAAAACAACTATTTGTCAAACAATGTAACAGTTTGTTGAGTGAAAAGTTTATTGAATTGTTTCTGCGGCCAGTCTATCTCCAAACATATTACATTCTAGATGATATTGCATACACACTAATTACCTTGATAGAACCATTTTCTTCATATTGTTTCCATAAATCATAAGAATGACCATACGAAATTGTGTAACTCTCAACCCAGGACTCCTCAACAACTGCCCCTTGTGTTATGATCTCTCCAATGTAACTATTTCGCTTTAGGTCAATCTGGAGGTATTGCATCACGTCATCGAATTCAGCGCACCACGTTCGGCGAATACTGAGTAAGCAGTCCTGGGGTGTCAGCGGATGTCGGGAGCTTGATGCGCTGATGGATATGTTAGCTGCCGCAAGCAACTCTCCTCCTTGAGAAAAGACAACAATTGCGGATGAGAACATCATATATATTGTATTTACAAATCAAAGCTATATTCATGCAAAAGGTTGTAGGCAAGGCAACTCCCTTTCTTTCTTTTCTTTTGGCATTCTGGACTGTATATTCCATTCACTTCCTTCTTCTCTCCCCTTCTGTTCCAAAGGGCCAGCAGTTTTAATTTTGCGATAAAATTGATTTTGGAGCGCAAGTCGTCCATTAGGAAATAATTCTTTGTACAAACCTATTCATGCAGTTTGTCCTTTTTTCTAAGAGGTAAAATATTGTCTCACCTTTTCTGCTGCCATAAATTTCCACCCTCAGTGCAGGAATAATGGTATCCAGCACCCATCGAGTCACGAGGAACTTGACGTAGCGAGTGTAAAATGATCGGGTAAACACGTGACGCACAGGGAGGTCTCTTTCGCCAGGGGTGTTACCGCTGAAAATCTGCTTAAAGAGTTGAGATAGCTTTCAAATCATTCAAGCCCATAAGAAAATCAATCTTCTAGAACGCCAGAGGCGATTTCCTACCATCTTTTGCATGTGGGAAGAAAATCATAGTAGTTTTCCTTACTTTATTAATGCAATTTATCAACCATTTGATGATATGAAAAAGTAATGATCAAATGTGACCTATTTTGAAATTTACTACCGTTCACACTGTTACAAAATTGTTAAAACTCAAGTTATAACGCATCTTTACCATTTTGTTCTAACAACATTGATACATGACCCTGACATTGAACAACTGGGGATTCGTATCAACTTCATGAAATGCGCCCATATTTGTGAATATCAGTGCTTCAGTGATGCATGTAAGTCTTATATTTCGCAGCAACAAATGGACAGCGACCATGTATATTGCTTTTCAAATAGAACTTCGTAAGATAGGGAGTAAATGTGACATAATCATACCTTAGGGGCCCCTCCCTCTCGATAGTAATACCAGTTTGAACCATCATCGCTGAAGGACAGTTTATACTCCAGTACGTGTCCGTATTTTTTGATAACGTTGTCATTACATCCTTGTGTTGCGACTCCACTTACGGACACTAAACCTTCACCAAGGTCGACCTGAAGAAAGTTATCACCTTTTGAGAATACCCAACATCCCGTAGTACTATGTAACCGAGCCAACCATGGTCCGTGCATCTCAGCATCCAAGTAAATGTCTGAAGCTAAAATGCTAATGTTAGGAATTCGATGATCGCTCATTCCTAACGGTTTCAAACTTTGTTCATCAAAATCTAAAATGGTAAAATAATGCAAACGTTAATCAAGCTCATAAATGTCACTATAGAAAGTATGAACCATACGGGTAAGACCTAGGGCCAGTAATGTTTAGGCAAAGTTTAGTTGAAGAATATTTATTTCATAAAAACAACCCTCTTATAGAGAATCCCTGAGGCCCATTGCCTGCGTAAAACCGCGGTTTAGGTTGGACCTCCGGCGAGTAAACGACCGGCCCCTAGAGTTATTTAAGCCCCAATCATTGAACTACCGTCGTTGGTTTCCTTAATAATCAATGGTCCATTGATTCTTGGAAAAATGCGAGGATATATAACTGCACGGTTTGGTTGTGAGGGAAAACTTTTATTACGATTTAATAGCTACTGGCCACTATAAAAAAGTAAAGAATAAAGATAAATAATAAAAAATAAAAAAGGCCATGTGGCAGATCTGTTATGGAGTCCTTGACCCCATATAAACCACCAAAACGGTAAATAAGTCACACTTTTTACTAATTAAACACCTTTTCACTTCATACTAATTCTCATTTCTAACCAATTGAGCTAACCGCCTCCCGGTTAGCTCAATTGCTTAGAGCGCTGGACTGTTGTGCGGGAGGTCGAGGTCGATGGTTCGAGCTCCAGCCGGACCAACGCTCAAGGTCTTAAAATAACTGAGGAGAATGCACTACCTTTCTATAATATCAAGAAATGGATAGACATCATCTTCAAATAAGTTTCCTTCGATTGTTGTAAACTGCTCATGCAGTCCGGCCAAAGTCCCCCGAAAAGTGTTGTGATGCGCATTTGATCATATCCACATGTTAATTTGCGCAATATAATATTAAATTATTATTGTTATCATTATTATTGCTATTATTATTATTATTATACTTAAATGAAACTATGACAATAGAAAATTTCTGGCTTTCGACCTATTAATTGTTCTTTTATCAGTTTCGAAGCGAGTGTCCTTAGGCAATATATTTCATCTCTCTACAACTCCATGAAAAAATGAGTGTTTTAGCACTTTTGTTGTAGCATATTTCTTTTTAGAGGTAAGTTTTCGCTAGGTAACGGTCGCGTTCTGAAGAGAAATCAACATAAGGTTGAATATCGACATTAATCATGCCATTCAGCGCTTTGTAAGGGAAAGTATCATCAGCTAAAACTCTTCTTTGTTCAAGTGACAGTAAGTTCGGTTTCTTTAATCAGGTTTCATTCTCTTGTCCGTCTTTAGGATGAATTTGGCCGCTCTTTTCTTTATTTTTTCAGTTTTTCTTGTATAGGGAGGCCATACAACGGAGCAGTTCTCTACATTAGACCGGGCAAGACAGCAGTAGACCGCTTTCCACGTTATTACATCACTAAGCCCTTTACAGGTTCTTTTATCAAACCAAACATTCTGTTTTCTTTTCCCCTGTCATTATCAATATGAGAAATCCAGTTTAAATGCTGATCTGGAATTATACCAAGATCCTTTAAACTCCTAGACCTTCTCCAAAACAAGACTTTCTTTTTAAACAAGTCATTTTTAACTGTGGTTCGATTTTGGATATAAGAAAACGCCATTACTCCACCGATAGAGGAATCGGATAAAATTTTTTTAAAGGACCTTAATTCGGCAATCATTGACAACCGGAATAAGTCTTACCTTTGCATCCGTACAACTCGACTCTGATACATGCGTGTATGTGCCATTTCTTAGGATGAAGACGAATGTATCGCACATTGGAAACGTTACTGAGCTTGTTTTTGACAATCGATGTTCCATCTGTATTGCCTGGAAACATCTAAATTATAACAAAGAAAAATTATCATCTTCCTGGCGGATATGGCTAATTAGCTGGATTAAAACAGTGAAAAGTAAATTTCAATATTGAACTGATAACATACACGAGTTAATTATCTCTCATCTTTTTTCTAAGTGGAAAATTACGAATAATGTCATAGCTTTGAGAAACTTGTCTGAGTATTTCGTCGACAAAGTTATACTTGTCTAAGTGCATGGACACAATTATCTTCTGCGTTCGAGATATCCAGCCTGAAATAAATTTTTTAGGCTTTGCGCGTGTCTGGCGGCAATGAGTAGTTTCAGGCAACTATGCAAATCAATTATATTGTCCTTACTGAAAGCTGCCGTTATTTTCTGATTTGCAGCAAAAGAGCTCCCTTATAACTCACTTTTTCAGTGCCATTCTCAGAATATGGAATCCAAGGGAAAAGATCTTTGCGAAAGTGCAATGTGTACTGCTGTACCCAAGCGCTGTTGTTTGAACTGTGCAATCCTTGGGTGGCAATAAACCGTAATCTGTATGGTTTCGCAAGGTCAACCTAAGAGACATAAGGAAAAGTTCAAGAAAATACTCTTTCAAAACCTTGCGATAGATTGAGATGCACATTGTTCATGTTCCTTATTGTATAGAGGCTGCAAAGAAGTCATCACTATCTGTACATGCTCAGCACATATGACTAGCAAAATAGTGGTAGATAAAAGAAAAAACAACTGCAAAGAAAGGCCTCTACATCATCTCTCGTGTTACATAGAATAAACACTTCGTTAAACCAAATCGATTGCAAGAGATTACAAATTGGTCATAAACTCTTCTGGATTGTCATTTCACTACGTCAACGAATCATATGCGCAGTTCAAAAGAAGAGAGGTGTCTTATATTAAAGTTTCTCTTTCACAGCTGATTCCCCTGGGTAAGCTTAAAGAGGATAATACTGATAGTTCCATCTCAATTCAAATTTGTTTTCTGATAACTCTCTCCATTCGACTTTTTTTCGCTACTACAACAACAATCTTTAATTGTATTCCCTTTCCTGTGTCAAGTTACAAAACAATATTGGAAATAAATAGTATACTGGCAGTCTGGAATAACCATAGGGGCTAGCGGAGCCAGGCAGCCAGTAGACAACAATATTAAATGAAATTAATCAGTGGTCAGCAAGATAGCACACATATACATATAAAAAGAAAGGAATAGAAGAGGAAAAATGCTATCATTACGCTAGTAGGGAAGTCTGAAATAATTAGATTAAAATATGAGTATAAATCATTGATATAAGAAAACCACACACGTAGCAAATATAACAACTAATAACATTATATACAAAACCGAGCGCATGAAGAATAGTTTTATTTTTAGCCATATTTATAAGATGTAGATAATTTTCCTTCTTTCTTAACGACGAAGTTGTAATATTTTACACGTCCTTTTTATCATCTGTACTTGTAAATATTCCGTAATTCAGCCCATGGCTGCAAGGTGTTTATAATAAAGTATCTATCTATCTATCTATCTACATTCTATATAAACTATAAAATAACTTATATTAAGGCTTAGAAAGGTTGACAGAATTTAACGAAAGGATAATTAACCAGATAATATTTTCCAGGTTTTTGTACTTTCAAGATTTATACTTTTAGTATAGCAAATGTCTTATACAGTAAATACATATACACGCCCATTTTGACCAACAAAAGGTTTGATCAACACTGCACTAAAATAAGACAATTCACCAACTTGTAAAAAAGGCTGAGTATCGTTTCTGCTTGGGCACCAGGCCTCTCTGCCATCGAGGCGTGCCATCCATGGGTATCTGCGTGAGGACAGGTAACTAGAGGCGGTGAGAGCAGAATCTTTTATTGCCCAGGTGCCGATTCCGATCTCGTCAGAACACACTGAAAAGAAAATTAGAACTGTCTATGCGAATAGGAGTGAAAAACTATGTCAAAAAAGTTGTCTTTCTACAATTGGTTAGCAACAATCTCATGTTTTTTGTGCTCAGATCACATGCCAACTCATAAAATTTTTATGTGCCATACTAAAGCCCCATTACCACCTTCTAGTTTTGCGGAGTGGTGCAACTCATAAAGTAAATCCTCCAAACTTAAAGGACTTAAGGGATTTGAGCAAACATTATGTCAGCCTTTTCACTATCAATCATTTTGGTAATCTGGTAAGGAGTAAATTTCATGGCAAAACTTTGCACACTCCGTTGCAGTACCAAACGATTTACAGTCTATCAGATAAGTAGTACCTTTGTTGCAGCCATAAAATTCAAGTCTTAAATTTGCCCCTAAATGCCACTGGTCAACGCGAATCTTTATGAATCTTGCTTCTAACTTCTGTTCTGTTACAATCGTCGCCACCATGTTTTTCATTTCTACACCAGTGATTTTCTACATCAAAATTAAAAACAAGTAAATAACCAAGGATTGTAAACTTGCCTCGTACATCTGACAGCGTAGAATACGATTTTTCAGGCTACTTAAAAAATATAGAAAAGCGACGATCTTGATAGGTTTGACACGTTTTCTTTTCAAGATAACATACACCAGGCTTTACAAAATACTACAACATTACTTTAATTTTAAAGTTGTGCCGCAGACCTGAAAGTACGTTGCCCTACAACATGTAACAATTGACAAGAAATCGTGAAAATAGGGTATAGTGCGATCCCTCTAATCCACAAATTATGACGAATTAGACGGAAGCATAGTTGCATACAGATCCCAGAAACTGTTATCAGAAACCTTGCAGTCAAACGAGATATTTACCCCATTTATTCCACGAGGTTCATAAGTTGTCCACGGCTCTTGAGTGGTCATCCTGTAGTCCAGGAAAAAAAATTTCAGCCAGTGAGTCTTCAGTGAATCCCCTTCCATCTCGATATAGGTTATGACTTTTGGCTCTCCAAGATCTACCGCAATGTATTCTGAAGATGCCAAAGATGATGCAATCCAGCCGGAACCAGACCCCAAACGAGCGCGCCAGGGTTCTCCGCCCACTTTGAAAGATGAAGCTTTGATGTTGGAGTCTCGTATGAGACCGCTGGCCATTCCCAGTGGTTCAGCACACACTAGAAGTTTGCAGCAGATTAGTTAGAGAACTTGAACTATCAAGCACCTTTGACGAGAAGGATGGTGAAAAATCACTCTCTGTAAAGCGACTGATTGTTCTTTTTGACGGTAACCAAAATGTTTGGGTTAGAGTTACTATGTAGGCATTCATTTAAAAAATGAGTTTTTTATTTTTTAAAATTTAATTCATATTTTTACCATCACATCCATAGAACTCCACACTGATTTGTGGAGTGTGCTGCCACGTTTGAGGGTAAAGCCTAACATAGCGTGACGTAATGTTCTTAGGCAGCGGCTGGCGTGAGGTTTCATAACCGGTTGTACAACCTGGCATAACCTAACACGATAAAGGAAAGAATTCATATTTAGAGATTAGGTGATGTAAAAGGTTTTTATTTGAAGATTATATCTGGTAAGATCCAAAGACTTGAGTATTCTGAGGAATACGAGTTTCGAAGGTGATAGAGTTGGCTACCTCACAAATTTAAAAATGAACGGCAGTTTGCGTTCGACTTTCTGCCTAACCATTTAGAATCAACAAAATTTTCAGCTATTTTCAAACCCCTCGAGTTCCATTGTAGTTTAGGCATTTATGACTTTTAAGAACACACTGATACATAGCGACATTACACATGTCGCAAAAACAACCAAGGATACGTCAAGAGCTCGTTTAGTAACTAATTTCTGTCCAAAGTAAATCCTTTCACCAAAGCAACCCGTTCAACAACATAAAAACCTTGAATCTTTGAAGGCTACGCCTTTTTTCACTCCCTATAACTCATCTACACCGAAACTCGATAAGTCCTTGCGAAACGTCGGCATCTTATCTGAGACAACACGAACCTTGTTAAAATATTTTCCGAGGCATAAAGGAACAGGAATATTCTGCCCGATGTTTGGAGACAAAATTCTTACTAGTAGGCACGGGAGGTTGGAGTTGAATGTTTAATCCAGTTTTAATGAATATAAAATGTGACATCATTGCCTGCCCGCCCACCCGCCTTAAAGCCCGATCAACTCTCAATTACTATCAACCCGAAATTCGGATACGTTCTCCACTTTGTCGAACGCAATAACAAAGAAAGGTTGTCATCGCATGTTTCAATAAAGCACCTTTAGAAGAAGAAAGGCTAACACAGCCATTTAATCTGTTCGCCTGATGTGATATATTCGGCACCAAAACTGGTTCAGAAAGCGCAAAGTTAATTTACTTCACCAATACCCAACTGAGTATACCCTCGATTATATATCAGCCTAATTGGCTGACAATCTGAACAAAACGTTCGCTACAAACCTTAAAACTAGCGTTTAGACGGGTGCTTTAAACACCCCAAGCTTTTCAAGCGTCAATAGAGAGATTTAGCAGCGCGTTTACGTGAAACGGCAAACGTCAGCTTCCCGTTTAACGTTCCACGTAAAATAGCGTGAACCATGATGCTTTAGCCTCGAGTGAGCTCACATCATGGTGGATTTAAAGACGCCTCGTATGACTTACAAGGAATGGTTTTGGTGTCCTTTTTCCGGAAATTTACTCCTACTCTGTGAGGAAAAAGTGGAGAAAATCTTACGTACACGGCAAACACGAAACAGGTCACTTTCTCGGAGAAACAGCAAAGTGAAACCGGCAAACCTGAAAAAGTGGCGGGAAAAACAAGTTCACGTGGTCAGTCTTCCCGTTCACATTTCACGTAAACGTGGTGTTAAATCTCTCTATTGATTTCTCTTCTCCCGCCCCAGCAGTTTCTGAAGTATAAACAGTATAAAATAGCGTTTGTATTGTCTATGCAAAGCAATCGAATTGTATACTTAAATGATTAGACCCTTGCTGTTTGCCAATGAATCTCTAAGATTACTCTCTGACCCTTTAACACACTTACCACAATGTTACCATTAATATTATAATCGTACCACTCTGAACCATCCTCGCTAGTCCCCAGTGTAAAGGATATAACCCAGTAGCTGTGTCCCTGAATGCTAAGTGCCGTAACAGTTTTGCCATAGGGACGTATAACAACTTGGATAAATATTCGTTTGTCGCTAGTGGTGGGATACCATGGTAAATTATTATTGAGTCTGATATAATGCCAACGGTTTTTGTTCGAGGATCCGGATATCTGCTCTAACTGGCGATTTTCCATACCAAGTGGCTTTGCACACGCTGTTAAAAGTAATAAGACGATTTCATTAACGGCGGCAAACCTGGGTCGAGTTAGCGGCCAAGCATGAAGGCGAGGCGTTTTAGGACAAAACATTCAGAATTTGTAGAGAGAGAGAGATGATTAAGGACCACCGACTCACGGAAAACCACATTCCTGGTTCTTCTTTGAGTGGCAAACGGATATCGGAGTTAAAAAATGATGAGCTACGGTTTTGGCTGAAATGTAGGAACGATTCTGCTAAAGGTTTACGCACTAAAGCTCAACTTGTAAAGAGGTAAATATTTAACTTGTTTACATCGTTCGATCGTGTACGTCATCATTGTATAATTGTATTTGGAGAAATAAAAAATTGCACTTAAATTGTTTCTCCTTTTATTCCCATTGATTTTAAGAGTCGAGGAATACATCAGTCAAGGGAAAGGTAGTTTACTTGTTGATCCGGATCCTAATTTATTGTACACAAACCGAAAACTTGCCAAGGGCAGGGTACGAGTTGTTCTGTTGTTGATTCAAGTTCTGCCGATATTCTTCAACAAAAGGTTATATTTCCCGAAAGTGGTTGGGGCTCTCAGTTAAAGAAAATGCCGCTTTTTAGGAAGGTAGAGATGAACAAACGTATCAAGAATAGCGGAAAGTGGCTAGGAAGCAGTCATCATTCGGTTCCAACTAGCTGGAAGAAGGGGAAAATATTCCTCGAAGACGAGTATTTTAAAAACATAGAACGCACTAGCGACGAGAACTACTTTAATTTTCGCAGTAAGTGCTATCACTCATTCAGAAAGAACGACGAACCCCACAATCTTAAGCTAGCAATGTGTATTGTGTCTGGAGATGCTGTGGAATCTACTTGTTCGTGCGTGGTGGGTAAGACTGGTTATTGCAACCACTCGTTGGCTCTTATGCTTAAAATATGCAAATTTTCCTTTTTTAATAGAAAAAGTACACATATTTGCACCACCGTATTTTCATATCCATATTTTTATTACCATATTTTCATTACCGTATTTTCACTAGCCATTCTTGTCGAAGATTTTGGTACTTCGAGAAACAAAAAAATCCAACCCGATTCCCTTCCGGATCAACAGCTCCCTTCTGTGTACAACCGGGCAAACAATAATAGATATACAGGCCTGAATTTTTTTCAGGTCTGATTTTCACTATTGCTTAAATAGTGCTTTACTGCGAAGGATCGTGCACATATACGTTTCATAACCGCAGTTCATATATATGTATTTCATATATATTTGTTTTTTAATAATAGATATATGACTTATAACTCATATTGGGTTCACTTATTTCGAAATTGATCACAAAAAACGATCTAAACGATCCGTTTGGCTAAGAAGTGCTTCTAACCTAAGAAAATTGCAAACTCCCTAGTGTAAACCTTGTAAAACTTAAGTTGTTTATCCTAAAACGCCTCGTTTTGATGTCTGGGTACCAGTTTTTGTCGCGCTCGTCCGCCATTTATGAAATCGGTGTATGATTACGTCATTTATCACCTTCAAAATATGACGATGAAAACGAATTTATTAGGCATCCGTTGAAAACTATTTCCTTATTTATGTATGGAGGTGCCGGAGAAGTCTACCTTGATTGATTGAAATTAGAAGAAGACTTCAAGCAACGGTGATTAGGGATGAGAAGTGATTCTTTTCATAGAAGTAGGAGAATAAAAAAGCAGTCAAAATTTACAATAAACGTAGATGCAGCGAGGCATCGTGAGAGTCACCTTTACTGCTCAAAAATCTCAACACAAAGACCCGCCTCGGGCTTGAGCCGGGAACGTTTGACGTAGATGTCTGGCACTCAAATTACAAGGATTCCGGGGAGTCTTTGTTTTGTCATGGCTTACGTCTCCAGCGCTGCCAAGTTCGGGCAGAGCAGGCAAAGAGACATCGATAAAAAAATATACATCATCAATTATAATTATCCCTTGATCAATCAAAATGTTGGAAGATCAGACGTCTTCAACAGACTGGCACGACTACAATTCCTCATTTATGAGCTATGTGAAGACCACTGAAACACCCACGATTACCACTTAGGTTTTATCAAATTTTGCTCTCAAAGTGACGTGACGCTCTGACCAAAACTGATAGTAGGGTTGTTGAAGCACATTTAATGTCAAATGAGTTTCTGTGTCTATCTTTGGTGTTCTCTTATGATCTTTTTTGAGATTTTATGGTTCGGAATGGTTTTTAAAAACGTACCTTTACATCCAATGAACTCAACTCGCATACAAATCAGCTGATACCATTCCATTGCGTGCAGCCGGACAAAACGAGCGTACAGTGATGGCACTACCTCGTGATTCTTTGTCATGTTATCAGGGCGATTTCCCAGAAATACCTGTCAGCAAAGGCTTAAAATCAATATTCAATGAATACAGAAGCTTTAATAATGACACAAGTTTGTGATACCAAAAAATGGGTAAAATAACTTTACTCTCTAACAAGGATTGAAATTTCAACCAATCTGAGCCTACGTCCAGTCAACCGTTACATTGTAAATGGCCGTATTATTACACGCATATATGAGCAACGGAACGTGCATAAAATGCGATCGTATTTCACGATAGAACAAAATAAAATACTGACAGAAAGCGGAGGAACACAATGTGACAGCACTAAACGATCCAAACCTTGATCTACTTACGTTTTACAGGTTTGAGTTTCTAAGCAACGATTTTTAAGACCATCAGATTGCATTTGCTGGTCACAAAGAACACTTAGACGGTTTTGTTCGTGTTATTTTCGTCTTTTGCGCACGGATCGTTCCGATGCTCCGATAAGGCCTTGGGATTTTTTCTTCGAAAAGTGGAGGCCAGAGCGCTCAAAAATAAAATGATTTCGGAGTAATAAATCCCTTATTTGATGGTTTAACAAGTAATAATTATGATGAGAAGTTTTGCTTATCGTCCTTATCTCTCAGGGCTCGGAAAAATACAGCTTAACTCGCCAAATATACGCGCGTTTTAAATGTTAAACCATCGTTTATATTTATACTTTCCTTTTACAACTAACCAATGCCCACAGGTGTCACCTGTTTAGGAAAAGGAGACCTTTTGTGCGGTGCCTTCCCATTTCAAATGGTTAGTGATTCCGCTACGAACTACGTAGGAATGAAAGGGCACATACTTCTACTGCACCCTCTTTGTGTCGGCTCCACACAGTGCCATCGTTACTGTACGTGACTGAAAATTTGGTAACCCATCCTTTTCCTTGTGCAGAGCCCGTATACTTTCCCTGTAGTATGATATTACTGATCTTATGTATCTCCTGTAGGTCCACCTGCAAATACTCGGTCGTATTTGTTTCTCGTGCGCACCAAGAACCTCCTTTGATGAAAGTGTTCAATCTGCCAAATTCAGGTTTGTGATACTTCTTTAAAATGCTTGATGCGGTCAAGGACTGATCTGCTACTTTTCCAGCTTCGAATCCAAGAGATCTGTCACCGTCTAGTTCTGATAAAACAGTGAATAAAAATTAAGCTTAAAGAATCTTACTTTAAGATTCCTACTGCAGGACTTCAAACCAATGAAAAAGGAAATCAAATCAACACTGAGTAGAGAGCATGTACAATGCCCGACATTAAACCTCATGATTCCCCGTTTCCTTCTTTGTCTCACAAAGAGATACTAATGGCATTTGTTATTGGAAAACCATAGTCCTGGAAGACTAACTGGGAGTCACTGCGTGTGTAAGGTTACTCTGTGAATACATTTCTTGTTTTAAATGACATTTCAACCAAAGTATATCAGGCATTTTTTACAGACTTTAGGAGATGTGATTCCCCACTGGTTAGCACAATAGAAACGGATTTAAAAAGCTGGTCAGAATCATTGCCTTGTTCCCGGGTCAGACACTGTCTATTCACAATGCCTCTCTGAACCCAGGTATATAAATGGTGCCAGAGAAATATCAGAGAAACTTGGCGAAGTGCAAAGAGTAACAGAAACAAAAACAGCGGTAGGCTTTGACCTAGCTTCGTAGATAAAATAACTAATTCAATTTATTTCTATTCCGCATATTAATCTTGGAGTTTGACGAGAGAAGAGTCCGCTTTTCATGGAACAACAATTGCTAGCGAAGAAGCCATGAAGTTTGATTTATTTGAATTTATGCGTGTTTTGAAAGGTACATAACTTCAATTATAACAGACTACTCACCGTTACCAGAGCATCCGTATAACTCAAACCTCATGCACTTGTGTCTGTAGAAAGATTTCGGTCTGACGCGAACATGTTGGGCCTTGATAACGTAACGTAACTTTATAAATTTTGTTTCGTCGTTATTTTCATTACCACGGAATTGCTGTTGGAAATAATTAAAGAAGGATTTGAATACTGCATTTCCACTGTAATAATGATGACCTTTAATCATTTCATACAGGGTGCTGCGGGGTGATGTCCGATAGCGCTTTACAATGTATAACTGACAAGGAAATTACTTTTGAATCTTAATCAAGAGAGGATCTGCTTGATAAATTCCTTTTTGTCTTTTTCGTTCGCCATTCTTTCATCTAAGTTATTGCAACTGAGAATAAATGGGAGAGGGGGTCAAGTTTCTAAAGAAACCATGGTGCTGCGTCGGAAGGGGTAACAAAGTAATTTGGTTATATCAACTAAGTTGAAATTGTAGATTGACCACCGTAAAGAGTTAAAAAGCTGACGTTTCGCTCAAAACGTCAGCTTTTTAGCAGTTTGCGGTGGCCGATTTACAATTTCAACTTAGTTGATATAACCAAATTACATAAGAGTAAATAGACTTAGTTCTCTAAGCAGTGATCTAAGTGCCAGAGAGAATCAATCACAGTCCGACGGACTCCTGAGGACACCACGTGGCTGGTATTTTACGCCGTGACAGATGAAGCAAACATGAATGAATATTCAGAATTTCTGACAAAGCCCAAGCGAAGCAGCCCAGCCATAGAAAAAGATAAAAGCAGTTCTGACGCTAAAAGACGCCACCGAAATTTGGCAGAAAAAACCTCAGTTACAGGGAACAGAGAAAGCATCGGCAAGAGTGATTAAAAATCCACAAAAATAGCTTAGTCACGTCATACGATTCGGCTGCAGTTAATCACGTCATCTGTCTAGAGATGACAAACTTCCTGTCTTTCTCGGAATCGTTAACACGTACAACACGTCATCACGTACATGTCTTGTAATGGAGTAGCTCTTGAGAAACCTTACCAGGCATGTTACTTGCTCCATTTGTCTAAAAAACCTTCAAGAAACCGAAAATCATATCTTGTTTTCACACATTTTGCTGTGAATGTTTAAAAAAACATGCAACAAAGAGCCAAAGACTTGGAAAATCTCGATGTCCCGGATGTCAAGTAGAAATCGATTTGCCAGAAGGAAATCGCCTTCAAAATTTACCTACAAGTTTGTTTCACAACAGCTTTTATAACATAACCAAAGTAAAGCGCGCGCTCTGATTGGTCAATTTAGCGTCCCCCATTTGCCCATGGGTGTACGCTGCTGACGTGAGCAAATGCAAAGACTATTTTTCCGCGCGCGCTTGTTTTTTCTAGTCACGTAAGATTTGTTAAATAAAAGGGAACTCTTTAGCTACAATGTATCAATGTTATGTTATAAAACAAATGGTAAACACCACA